AGGCTGTGTACGAAGGTTTAAGTGCTGTCAAGTAAGTATAGAAGAAGGGAGAGGAAAGCAGTGGTGGAACCTTAGAAAAACGTGCTTCAAGATTGTTGAACACAACTGGTTTGAGACTTTCATTGTCTTTATGATTCTCCTCAGTAGTGGAGCTCTGGTAAGTAAAACATGAACAGAGCGTCACAATGTTGTCAGAAAACTTAATGTTGGCTCTTCAAACATTGTTTTAACTTTGTTTTCTCTGCCAGAAAGAACACACAATTTCATATCTTCAAATGACAGGACCAAATTTTAGTCAGGCCTTTCAGAGAATGGTAGAAAAAGTCTCTTCTCAACAATGTGTCAAAAAAAGAACAGACAAATTCATTACAGAGAGCTTAACTCCTTGCTTAAAGTGGTAATGATACGCCTGATCAGGGTGAGGGACAACATGTGAAGAAGAGATATTTATTTGAGTTTGCTCTGTAGTTTTACTTGTGTTTACTGATATAACTCAGGGAAAAGAACTGTCATTGATTAAAAAAGAAGAGTTTGGAAGTAAGTTTGATGGCATAAACAGCTCACAATACCTTGCAAGAGCCAGAGCTGGCTTATACAGCCTTATAAATATTATGTGCTAAAACAGCAAGAAAGAGTAAGACTGTGTGTTTGTAATTATTCCCTTCTAAGAATAAGAATTTATTATTTATGCTTCCAAGTCAGCTTCTACTGACTCATACTCATGTAGACTAAGCGGATATCTGTAAAAACATGAATTTGCTTTAAGTTTAATAAGTATGTGAGGGCAGAATAAAAAGAAGCTAACCATAATGTATATCTACAACAATAAAAGAAACAGAACATACCGATAATATGTTATTTCACAAATAAAAATAATGACAAAGACTAAAGATACTGGAGATGAACTCTTGAATAAGGGTGAACCTGCATACATACTGTGCTGAAGTTTCTAAGGCAAACTACTTGCTCTGAGATAACGCAGAGTATATCTAGCATCTACCCTGCTAGATGCAATTACCCTTTGTTAAATTACTTAAGTTCCTACATCATAAAAAAAATTGTGTTGTGAAATCGTATTATAAACTCTTTAGATCACTCTCAACCCTTCAAAGAACTGTTAATGGTTAGCAGTTTATCATTATACCTATCATTACTTTCGATTAAATCTTTAAGAATCATTCTGCTTTTGTTTGGTCTAATATTGACACAACCATCAGACAAGCAACTTTTACTCAACACTATGTGACTCCTTCTCCATGATTTAAAAACCTCAAAATAAGACTCACGTTTACGCTATTGAATTTTGATTCATGCTACCAAGTGGAGAAGTGACAAGAATTTAAATGAAAGTACTGGCAATAGATCTGATAAAGGTGAATTTCCATCACTGTATTTAGAGGAAGTTTGAGATGAGATCCCACAGTGTTAGCATCTCACGCTTGTGAACCAAAGGAGTGTGTCATCCACAGAACATTTATTTTGTGAAAACGCTTCAGAGACTGGGGATTAGCCCAAGCCTCTGGAGATGTGAGAACCTGCTCTGCCTTCAGCTTCCTTTGTGTCAGGGAAGAGGTCTCTTTGGACCTGCCAGTACTTTATCCCAATGTTCACACCCCAGGGTCACACTCCAGAGGGGTCTCACTGTCATTACAGCCAGGAAATTTGACAGGCACAGGCACACTACAGGCTGCCTGCAACACCCCACCCAGAGACATTCAGCCAGGGCACAGACACACTTCTAGCTGCCCAGAGCACTGCTAGCATAGCCTTCCACCTATAAGAAGGAAATGACACGTCTTGGCTCTTCACAGTTTTGTGAGATAAAGTTGTTAATGATTACATATGAGCATCAAGTACCATAGTGTCTGATCTAAAATTACTGATGCACAGATGTTAATTTGATGGCTGACAGACAAACAGTAATCATTTGAATTGACAGATCCAAAGTGATTCTAAAGCGGTGTGGGTAAAAATGAATGTTAGTATCAATAAATATCCAAATCTTTGCAAGATAGTAGCTCATTCCAGTTCTTTCAGTCTGATAAAATTTATTGTTCTCCATAAGAAATAACTGCATAATTAAAATCTAAAAGCAATTAAAGGGAAAATTTCTTGGAGGACAGGAAGAATTTCTGAAAAGCAGAAGTTACATGTTTTTTCAAATGTTTAAAAATGAAAACACACAAAAAGTGTAAATAACTGCTACAAGGATCTCAGAAATTTTATATATCTCATAAAATGTGAATATAGAGTAATGGAGTAAAGCAGATATTTGATTTAGATAAATTTTGGTTTTAAGTAAGAACTTTTTTATGATTTATAACTTAAAATTTTCAAAAAGGAACAGAACTTATCAAAACGTCGGTTGTATAGTCATTGTCCTGAAAATTTTAGTTATGTCCCTGGATTTTGAAAATGGATCTACCGACATACAAACCAAACAATCTCAGTAGAGTGCAGTTCAGGCACAGCACTCTGCAGAGCCAATGCTATTTGTGATTACTGAAAATTATCTGAGAACAATAATTCACCATCAGCACTGACCAGTGGAGTGGTTGCTGTGTAATATCTGTTTCTCCCTTTTGCAAGATGGAAAATACAGTTCCATAGGGGAAAACCAGGTATATCCTGCGGTAGCAGAGAAGGAAGCATTAGATAACATTGACACTCCCATGCCTTTTCTTGAAGAAAGACTGTTTATTTTTTTAGCTGCTTTTTTTTTTTGGTTACAACCTGAAGTATGTCCAGTAACAAAAGGGAATAACAAACATCTTTTTGAATGTTTTTAATCACAGGCTTTTGAAGATATATATATTGAACAGCGTAAAACTATCAAGACCATGCTGGAATATGCTGACAAGGTCTTCACTTACATTTTCATTCTGGAAATGCTGTTGAAGTGGGTGGCCTATGGCTATCAAACTTACTTTACTAATGCCTGGTGCTGGCTGGACTTCCTGATTGTCGATGTATGTAGTATATTTCCCAGGTGTTATTTTTATATTTATTTTATTTATTACTTGGTCTACAACCATAATATCTATGTATACTACCCAGTTTATTTTCATTTTAAAAAGGTAGATGGGAAAAATTCCATATTTCTCTGTCTTTCTCTTTATACATACCACACTGCCTTTCTATACCACAGAGTTAAGAAAGACTGGAAGTTCTCCTGCTAACACAAGAACCTCACATGGTAGCCCCACAACCAGTTAAAGGGTTTACCCCAACACTTGAAAAAGATCATGCTGTCCTCCATTCTGCCTTTGGCTGCTCATTCCCACCTTCAGACCCACCTGTTCTCCTGCTGTGATCTAAGTTGCATCCAGCATTTAGACAAGACATCAGACACACGTCTGAATTAAAACTCTTCTGGCAAGAAAATGAACATCATGTCCACAAATTTCAGCATATGGCTGAATTAGGGCTTTACAAGGAATGCAAGATGTATCTGTAGCATTGGTGGTGTGGCTTACCTACTATTAAAGTCCAATAAATATTACTGAACTCGCAGTCTTCACAGCTGTGTTTGAAATCAGGCTCAATAATCTTTCCCATGAGGGTTATCTCATAGTTATAACTCTACTGTGCTATGCTGTGAAATGGGGGAGACCATTTTTGGTGCATTGATACAATTATGCAGAAATTAAGAAGTAATGTACTAAGTATACAACCTTGAGAAAACCTCCAAAGTGCAGAAACACATACTGTTTCTGCAGTCTATGAAGTTCTGTGTGTGAAACTAAAATACTATGTTTTACACAGTTATGAAATCACAACCAGTCACTACATTTTTGAGACAGACATTTCTGGTAAAACTAATTGAAAAAAACATACATTAAACAAGCCCAATTTTAAAATTAAGATGCTTTTTGTTCTTGTTTCAGTGACTTAGAAACAGGCACTGAATAGGCAAAGGGTGAACTTCATAATCAGTTATTGACCAAAAGAATTGCTAAAACTCCAACAAGAATGTGTTTCCAGCATACAACGGCTAATCAAAGTAGTTTATTTTCTTGAGCTTTGTTTTGTAATGGGTGCCTACAACTTTTTTGATTGGTGTACATTATGGATTAAATATATCTAGGATTCAACTTCACATATACAGCTACAGATAACAACATTCAAACATGGTAGTCATAGAAAGAAAATACCTTCTCTTTGGAAAACACTTTTGTTCTTTAGTATCTAAATTCTTCTCAAAATGGGTGCCTAAGTGGCACCTGTGACAAAAAATCTTGAAGAAGCATGCAAGCAGAAGCACCTGTTCCTTTTCTAAGCTCATTTTCACTAATATTTGACCTTATTTAAATCATAATATCCCAAACAGCCATCTTGTGAATGTGAAAATTTGACTTCTTTGTGTGAAGGTATAACACATATTCAAGTGTGTGAATAAGCTCATGATTAAATCCTGGATTTACACGCCTGGATATTTTCTTTTAATTTCACTTTAGATTATGGGAGCTTGAAAGCTTGAAAGCTTTCAGTAATATGATGAACATGCTTGAGAAAGAAATTGAGATTTCAGAAGAACCTAGTTTTGTGGGTTGCTAGAGCTCAGAATTGACAAGTGCAGAAAAGCTATTAACTTTCAAAAGCTAAAGATTTCACATGTAATACTTAGTTTTAAACATGGTTCATAAAGAGCACTGTCCTAGAGTTCTCTTTATCTGATTCATTGTTCTTTATAATGAAAGAGTACATGAGACCATCATGCTATTTTTTGCCCAATAAATAGTTAAGGAATTAGAACAGTATAATGAAGGAGCATTTAGGAGAAACAGGAAACAAACAGAAGGTATTATTTTGGCCAGGAGCCATAGTAAATGTAGAGAACAGTGCATTTCTCACTGAGGTATTATAGGGACACAGAATATATAAAGACCTGTAGAGTTCTGCCACCTATGGAACTGTTCTTACAAGGTCTTTAAGAAACAGCATAATCCAGGTTAATGTCAGCCTGTAGAGCACATAAATTCAACAGTCAGGCAAAATAATTAGTTGGTGTAACTGATAGAGAAAAATTAATCCTTTCTACCAAATTCCAGAGGAGCAATGTTGCTCTGTGACCCATCTGTTAATCCAATACGTGCTTCAATCATTTCCCTTTCAGTTGTGGGCAATCAAATGGGCATTTTCAACTACAATTTCTCATCCAAACAGCATTGTAAACCAAAGAAAAAGTGAGAGCAATACCTAAATTTGTAAGGAGGAAAGATTAATTTAATTTGCTTTTTGTGGTTTTAAAAGCCCTCAAATCACTTGCAAAATATGAAATTCAGAAGTATTAATGTTCCCAGATACTGTTACCTTATGACATTTTTGTTTGTTTATTTACCTATCCTACTCTTCTTTCATATTACTTTTTTTTTTTTTTTTATTTAAAAGACTTCCTATTCCTGAAGAAAGTGGTCCAAAATTAGATTCTTCTAAAGAAGTTTATATCTCTCATCTATGGTACGTAAAGTAGTATGTACAATATAATAATTTTTACTTTCCTGTTTTCATATAGGTCTCTTTGGTTAGCTTAACAGCAAATGCATTGGGTTACTCTGAACTTGGTGCCATTAAGTCCCTTAGGACACTAAGAGCTTTGAGACCTCTAAGAGCTTTGTCACGATTTGAAGGCATGAGGGTAAGACAACATGAAAGAATCTGAAACTATGCATGCATAGAAAGAATCCATGCATGCAGAATAAGGAATGACAAGTCCATGCAGAAAGGCTGCACTATCTTTTTATCTATTGCATATCTTTTACTAACAGATAAGCAAAAAGCTTCATCAATTCACCTAAATCCATATGCAGTATCACATAGAAGTTACATTCATTAAGGTTACTTTACTTTCTAGCCAATCTCAGGAGTTTTCCATATGAAGCTTTGAAATTACCAACTGTGAACTCTCTCAACAGATGCAACAATGAATTAAAATGTAACAAGATTTTATTAATTTTCTAGTGATAAACAAATCACAATATTACAGGAATCTAACCTAGCATTAGTTAATAAAGATATTTTGTGTTGACAGTTCAAATCCTTCATTTTTATTTATAATTGATAAACCACCTTTGGACTAAACCCACTGAATTTTACAAGATGGTACTAGAGATATATTCATATCTGATGATGGTTTAAATCTATTTCTGAGTTTGGCTGACTTTAAAAACAAATCAAGTTATTTGATTTCTCCATGAAATTGCTCTTTCTGTAAGGTAAATGCTTTTGTTATTTCAAAAACTCTCTATTCAATATTCAATACAACGTATACAAGGTTATTTCCTTCTTATTCAGAATAGTTTAGAGACCCTGCTTAGTATTCATCTCACTCAAGAAAGCATTTTAACTTATTTTTTCATTTGCTTATACCTTCTGTTCCTTAAAGCCACTGAATACAAACTAACTCTATATGCATGTCACTGAAATATGTTTTAAGAGAATGCTTTTTGCTACTTCATGAAAACATAAGACGAAACGATGTGCTAATTAATTTCAAGACAATTATAAGCCAGTGGAATAGCCTGGAATATACTGTCTGAACAACCTTTAGATACAAATCTAAGCTTAATCAAGTCAAATTGAGGCTTTGAATTCTGTTCCTTAAATTGTTTTCATCAGGCTACATATCTCTACTTCAGAATACATCAGGAAAAAACATTGCTAACCAATGATTACTAGATTAATAAACTTCGGTTTCATATAGCAAATTGACTTCTAACAGTTTTCTCATCATTTGAAATTCATGAATTGATATTTAGCAGGTTAAGAGCTGGTCAAGTACTACAGAACGTACAAATTTTCATTTAAGTTTGGAATGACTATTTGGTTTAGCCATTTTCTCTTTGTCTTTCGTTGTACTTACTGTTCATGAACATTCAGATAAATGTGGTTTTGTGCAGAGAAATGTTGGGAAAATGCTGTCAGCTTTACTTCTTTATTAATGTTCTGATCAGCTGCAGGTTGACTGGGAGACCAGTATAGAAGTTGCACAGGGACAACAAATGCAGCTCTTCAGATGACTTTGGAAAATACAGATAATTTCTAGAAAGATAATGTCAAAATTGATTGCCAAATGTTTTCTTCCATTTTTCTGTATCCTTACATGATTGCCTTAGTAAATTTTCCACTTAAAAGATTTAGGATATTCATGCTCAAAGAAAAGTACCTGTTATTTGAAATCTATTTACTGCTTTCCCTTATTTCTCATTGAATGAATCTATGCCCGAAGTCTAATCATACGACATAATTTCAGACACACAACATGAATAATTCACAAGCAACTTACTGTGTAGGAATCACAGACAAGCCTGGAAAAGCAAAAGAGGTTTCAGCTCTGTCCTCCAATATTGATGATAACCAATGAAGTACCTGATTCCAGTCACTTAGCAAATTTGACCGGCCAACTGTGTAGGCCTTGCCTTTACTATTAGTTACGTGCACGTCTGAAAATGTTTTTTCCAAAGCACTTGGCAAGTATTCACAACAGCTCATTGACAGATAGTAGCATTACTTTATGAATGACTCACGAACAGTAAAAATATTCAAATAATAAATAATTGACCAGCTCATGATAAGACTCTAGTCAAATTACAGTCTTCTCAGAAACTGAGTTCATTTCATAAAAATCCATAACAACAGATTCTTTTGTCTGCCAACAGAAAGTAAAAATAAATCAATCCTCTTTTTGCTTTCTTATATTGCCTATACCCACACTGAGGCTGTGACAAAACAAGCTGAGTTTTTATTCAGCATGTATTTATAATTCCAATGTTTACCTTCATGTTCAAAACTGTGCATATTTTGCCTTGAAAATGTAAGAGATCTTATGTATTCCACAGAAGTCCCTGTATGTAAAAAGCTCTGCATACTTTTGTAAATCTGCGAAATTCTCAACTACTTTACATCAAACTTTTTCTTCAGTAAGTTTACCATTCCGGTGAACTGGAAGAATACAGCATTTTACATAATCAGTAAAATCTGTTATCCCTAAATACAAAGCATACTTCACTTTTTAAGTTATATTCTTACAAGTCTACAGTTATACTCTGGAGTTACCTCATAATTTTGTAATTATGCTGTTTCATAAATGGGATAAATTCTCTTTCCAAAGTGAATATAACATAGATTAATCACTTGCACCAAAATAGGGTACAAGTGGTCCATAGCCTGTGCTTGCCTTGAAGCACAGAAGTGAATTTTGCCATATTAAAGGCATTTAAAATATCTGCTAGTACACTGAATTCTGAGAAATTTTAATACTTACTATAGTGAATCTCAAAACTAACTCCACCCAGATGCTGGAAGGCAAAGTAAAGAATTGCTTTAATTTAATTTAAATTTCTGTCTTAGGGTTTATATTCTCATCTCAGTGTATGTACTAAGCAGAAGTATCTGCAAACTGAGATCTGAATATACCCATGGCTTTTTGTTTAGCTTTTTAGTACTTGCAATATAATGCTTTTGCGCTAGTTCTGACCTGGTATGCTACTTGTAAATGTAGAAGACTGAGTATACATTGCTTTGCTGAGTTAGAGAATTAAGTGACAATAGAGCATGCATTTGTGTCTAATTTCACAAAATAAAGCATGTCATGCCGTGCTTGATTTATTTATTAGAGAAATAGTAGAAGGCAGCAAACAATCTGAAATCCACTTGCACTTTCAGTTTTGCATGCCTTATGCATATTTCTGGCTGATGGCTTTAAACATTTACTGTATTTCAAATTTCCAGTCCAATTTCATAATTTGTAAAATTAAATTCTAGTATTGGATGTCTTAAATATCCACTAAAATTCAATGGCTATTCCTTAGATTCCCTTACCAGGAAAGTGATAATGAGGCATTTTCAAGAGTACTCCAAACTTCATTAGTAAGAAAGAAACATTTCTCATATGATTGAGTTATAAAACATATCAAGTGTCTGTCATTACAGATTCACAACTAATAACAGGCTATATATTTCTCTTTCATATAGGATAACCTTTCTTCAATTTGGATGGGGTGGACCACTGGTTCCTCCCCTTATCTGTATTATGGGTACAGTATTTCCCCCTTTTCTACCCTTAATGGTTGCAGTGTGACTAACCACTACATTGTGTATTTAGGGTTAGGAGAGACAATCTCATTTGAGAACCCCATAGCAGCAAAACTAGATTATATATTCATCCTACACCCCCTTCTTAATTGCTTTAAATCTTTGGAGGTAATCAATTGAAATTTCTGGTGTTAGAGAAATAACATGAAAATTTTTGAGAAAATCAGTACTGTTATTTAGAGTTATCTGAGTTCTTTTTTGCACAAGAAAGTGACCTCAGCTATTTTTAGATGCCTTTTCAACTGAGATTAAAACATGGCTTTATTTAAAAATTTGAATCTGGCTTTTACATTGTTTTGGAAAGTGCTATGCTTTACTCTGCTACTCAATTTATAGCTACATACATTCAAAAACATCCTACAGAAAGTTTTGAAAATTACTTGTACTACTAAGCACAGAGCAAAATACTGTGATCAGAATAGTCACAACTACAGATATTTACATAATTGCAGTTTAAATTTTGCCTAATTTTTAAACCCCTATATGTTACATTAAGTAAATCAGTCTGAGTGTATATAGATAGCATAAGACATTGTATAACATATATAATCCTCTCTTGGAATCTAAATTCAGTCTTCTTTGGCCTGTGTTGGAAACTAGTTTTTCTAATTTTTATAAAATGCCAGTAACAGTATTATTTTTGTAGTATCTTTCTTGGAGTTTAGAAATGTCCTGCAGAAGACATGTTAGTGATATTAAAAAATTTACATTCACTATATCAGATCCTTAGACTGCAACCCTTTCTAGCACCGAGGGTATCATTAGTGCACGGGTTTTTTATAGCTTCAGTGTAAATGGCATATCAACATAAACAGCATTCACTGTACATTTAGCATCTTATTTCACCATTAAGAATTATGTATTCAGTCTCAAGAAAAAGTATTCACTATCTTCTGCAAGTTTCTCTTAAATATAGTAGAATGTATTTTGTTGATCAAAAAATTATGCACTTTGAAGGATTTTTTTAGGACTGTGCTCTTATTCATTACCTGTGAGTTTTAAGGAAAGTCTATTAGAAGTGTTATGTCTCCTGAAAGACAATTAAAAAAATTACAGACTTTCATGTAAGAAGACTCTCTGTATAGTTGTTCATAAATCATACAGGAAATATCTTAATATTCTCAGATTTTTGTTAGACTGTAGTTCTACAATTAGAAGAGAACTTTTGAAGGAGTTTCTTATATAATTGAAACTAATACGATTTTTGTCCGGATTTGTGTTTATTGTATCTTAAAGAAAATCGTTACTTTTAGGAATGAAATTTAATTAAATTTGAATGAGATACATAATATAGTTTACATTTCAATTAAGAATGTTAAAGAACACATAAAGTTCAATAACATTTCATTTATGCAACAGGAAGAGCGTAAAGTTCTCTTTTTTTTCACCGCATCTGGTGAAATTTGGAGATATTGTTCCCATATCAAATAATTACTCTGTTCTCATGCTCGTGTGTATTTACAATATTTACCAGGTCTTCTCAAACAAATGCAGCCACGTGATTTATTGCTTGGCAGATTGTATTTCATCATACAGTATATTGAA